CGGCAGCTGTAGAGGCAAGCTCCAGGAACCTACAATGAACCCTGCAAGACACACGAAGGACGATGCCCCTGAAAGAAACTTGCAGTCGAACCGGCTGACGGAAGACGCGACGGTCACCAGGGGGGGCAGGGCTCCTTGTGAGACGAACGAAAGTGTAGTGCAGGACACTACACTAGCAAGATGGTGCAAAGAAATAAAGACATAGAGTAATACTTCCAAACACAAAGAGGCTCAAACAAATAAACGTTACGCCTTGGTTAGAAGTGCGAGACATGGCCTACGTGGGGCGTGAACAACAGGCACGAAGTATTACGTCCAGGAGCCGGTCTAGTGGACTACGAGGTCTAAAGCTCGAAGAGTGCTTTTCTCTTAAAAGCCATAAAGTGCTTTGCCGCTGAGTGCTCTCTGCATACCAATAACCTGCCTGCAGTAGTGTAAGCGTGCGCCCAAGAGGCGTTGAATAAAGTGCACCATTACCCGACCGCTCATTCAGAATGTAGGCGCCCGTCAACAATAGGAGCCCCCAAACTTAAAATCTGCCGTCTCTTGAGCTGCTAGCAGCGGGCGAGCTAGCAGGAGAAGTTCTGCCGGAGAGCGCACGTATTTAAAGAGTATAGCAGTGCCATGGTCAGATCTCGCGGCCATAGTCGATGGCATTGTCATTCAGCACCGCGTACAGTTTTTCATCAGCTGTTTGAAAAACGTTGCGTAGCCATCAGCTTAGCTGCTCTACGATCTGCATGTAGTGCGTTCACTACACTTATCAAATTCAGCTGTGGGTTGCACAAAATGTGCAATGCTTCTTTTTACATAGAATGCGGGCCGACATTGCTGCTTTCCTTTAAGAGAAACTACCAGCTTGGTGATCACTGGCACTGCAGTCAGGGACGAGCCTACTTAAGCAGTGCATTCTGTAGCTGCCCGCACACATGGATGCACGTGGTGTAGTCCAGCAGAATGCCTGTTTCATTGTTTGGAATTTGGTAATTGTGTAAAGATCTGAACCGCAGATCTAGTGAAAACAGCAATATGCTCGACACCGAGTCAGATAGTCATGATTTAACAATCGGGGATCAGCCAAAATATGTCTCGATACTAGCTCTCGGCGATGTGAAGGTGCACTTGTGTAGGAGGTAGACGTTTGGCGGTAGGAGGTGTTTGTAACAACTGTCCATATGAGCTTATGAGCGTTTCGTCCTGCTGAATGGTTTGCCAGCTCGTTGGAACGAATACATATCGGCACGCACGAGCGGCATGTAGCAAGTTTGGTTTGCCTACCTCATGCACCGCGTTTGATGTACCCGATAGCTTCTTTTCCGTTCTGCCCTCAATTCGCATGCTCGGTGGCTTACCGTCTTCTACAAAATTGTACATCTGCTGGCAGATGTACAAGCAGCCAGCGTATCGTGAAGGGATTACTGTTAAGCACGATAGGGGTGGGTAGGTAGGGTATGGCAGGCACAGGACGAGGTGTATTCAGTAAGCAGTACTTACAGTGATTTATAAGTTATTTGAAAGAAACTGCACTGGCAGCAGCTACTCTACGGCTTGCAGGGGGTACGTCTATGAGAATCAAAAAATGCAGCTAAGCACGAAACGAAAACTTCCAACGCGTCGTTATATCGAGAACGCTCAGCAAGCTTGCGTACTGCGGCTTAGAGGCAGGCGCTATTAGGTTGGTGTTTACTCCACTTCCGAAAGTGACAGCTACCGACTAAATAGCTCACAGCGGAGGCAGTGTCAATCGGGCATACGGCCTTTAGCCACGACACAGCTCCTATTGTTACAGTATACGTACTCGCTTGAAAAATTCAGATGTACGAATGGCTGACAGACCAGTACACGCCGGGCGTAAGTTGGCTACAGTCTGATAGACCTATAGAATTTGCAGTTTGAAGATTCATTCGTTGTAAGCAATTTGCGAGGCGAGCGCCGTAGAGGTGTGAAACAGCAAAGGAGGGAATGAAGGCTTGTGGAGTCAAAGAACAAATGCAAAGCCTGAGTCAGGTTGCTATTGACAGTACGCAGAGCTGTCGGCTGCTAAAGCGCTTTGTAAAGTGTAATAAAACCGATCAGGCGGATATGAGAGCGCGCTTCTGTACCCAGAGGTTTTCTGGAAGAGACCGAAATGTTTCTTGATGCGCAGGCGGAGCGGTAAATACCTCAAACCTTTCGTTCTGCCGCCAAAAACAAGTGACGATCAAAGTCAATATTCAGGTGATGTTAAATCACGGGGTAAAAGATGTAATGTGTGAGACCTTTTTAAGATGATTCCTTCTATTCCAGGCTGCAGCATTTCCATGGTACGGAACTGGGAGACCACGAAGTCTAGGCATTTGGCGTCGTTTCAAGATTTTCACTAGGTGACTTTAAATAATTCTAGGGAGGTGCCTATGGAACTACTACTAACAGGCTGTGCTGTCCTCATACGTCAACCCTAAAGCTTCTGCCCTGTACAAGAGCATGTCATGCGTCTTTGTGTGGAGACTCGTCAGCAGCACGTTTAGGCGCCTAGGGCTCATGGGCGTGCTACAGGTATCTTACGCAAGCACACCATCAAAAGCAAACATCGTAGCCTTCCGAATATATACAGCTGACTTGTATCTAGTTAAAAGCTATTCAAATTTTCTTTCGGGGGGTGTTTATGGGTAACAGGCCATTGCGCAATTAATCGCATAGATTTCTGCCCTAGAAGAGTAATTTTTAGTATCAGCGACACACAGATCAAGCGACAGACCGACACCATATACCTGCATGCATTGTATGAACCAGGAATCAAGTGCCACGGAGAGCCATGCAATCCTTGATAGAGAAGGTGCTGATTTTGGGTACTGGCAAGCCCCAACATCTTCAACCTTCTAGTAAGCATTCTTTCAAACAAACAGGTTTCCTGCTCCCCCTTGATGTTTGTATGAGCGTGCAGTCGACTATTGGCCTACATAATCAAATCCAGACACATTTTACTTCGCGCCAAGAAAGTCAATTAATCTGATCAAAACAGGGGGCGGATATGTGGACAGTCTATTTTTGTTGACAGTGACACACAATCGGAGTGGCTGAATGCGGAGCCCTTCTGGTTAGAAGAAAGAGGTCACCTTTCGTATAGAATATCCTGGTTTTGTGGTGCTGGAAGATCTCACAATATGGTCTTAGCAGCACAATACTCTGGCATATCCCAGTCACTTTGCAGCTAGGTAGGGTAGTAGGTTATCGAGTACTCCTAACTCGGTTAACCCCATATATCATCTTAATATGTGCAGCCCCTGATGTGCTATGTATAATTGTGGAACCACAGCTCTCTTGATAAATTCCCACATTGGTATTTGGCGTACGTAATAGATTTTCGAGAGCCCCGAATGCAACGTGCTTTGTGCCTACTCTCTTTAGAAGTGTTTGCCTGCACATATATGCTTGGTATGACCTGCTGCTTTGCTGCAGTTAAGGACTCTTGAAAAAAGGCAGGTAAATTCTTTTGACACGCATGCGTACAGTATATGGTCCCGAGAGCGAACGGCAGTAATAAAAATGTGAGCATCAGTCAGTAAGAAAGCATCTGATGTAATTCGTATCTAAGTGAAGAAATGCAAGCCATATATCCTCGTAATCGTCATACAAAGAAAAAAATCTTAATTGCTCGTTTGACGGTAATTGTTTAAAGTCAATATGTTGCAGTTTGCGAAGATACTGGCACCAAGCGCTGGTAAGAGCTCGCGCCTGTTTCTATTTGCAGCTGCACCTAATGAGGTCCCTCGACAGGAGCACCCGCGTGCAGGGTAGTAGCCGATGATGGGACGATGGCACCTATGAACTGCTGAAGAACGAATGCTCAAAATAATTTGGCTGCGCTCGTTGCTTACAGAAAGGTCAAGTCAAATGCAGTAGGATGCGCAAGCTTGTGACATTTGAATTTATCCACTTTGTTATGTATCTCTTCACAGTATGATAAAGAATTTTCCTCCAAAGCGGCTCTTTAGAGTGCAGCGTGGCTTGTTTACAGGTCATTTACTCTGAATGACTAAAAGTGGAAACCTAATTTCACATAAATATTTTGACAAATCCGTTACGCTTGGAGGCCGTTGATTAATTAGCAAAGGGGTTATGCAAGGAGGTGTAGAGTTATGGCGGGTGTATCAGGGTGTGCTGTGCCAGGGAATACTTCTGTCTGTTTTGCTGTACGGTACACTTCTTGGTATGTGAATTCCTGCTGATCAGAAACCTGGAAAGTTTGTCCTTAACAGCACACAACAAAATATTACTCGCGCACAATTCATATTATGGAAGATGTAGGGTGAGCGCTCTCAATGAAAGCAGCCCATGCATGGTGATTGTTCTCACTGCTGATTTCTGAGATATCTTCTTGCGTATCATGCTTTGGTCAAGCCGCCTAGTGTGAGCTGTGTGACTCTAAATTTGTCCCATGCACTTGACCACATTCCACAGTGGTGCGCGGGCCCTGTCACACACACGATGCTCTGATGCAAACACGAGTCAACTCCCTGCATTTTTAGAATGTGTTGAAGCTTTACTTAGGTTTCGTAACTTACAGGTTCTGCAAGCGTTGGCACAAGTAGCCAACAACGGTTTTTGAAAGGCCTAAAACGCTGCCATTTCTGGCTGGTAGGCACTGCATGATGTGAGCTACGTCTTGCCTCTTCCGTATTTGGTGTGTCGTCCCCACTAGACCTTGCCATTCTGCCATCTAAACATTAATGCCTGAGTGTCTACATAAAAGACATGAGACTTTTACCTGCTGAAGCCACTCTGAGTTCGATTAGAGAGTAAGTAGTTCTCAAACTACAGCACTAGTACAATTCACATTACTGGCATTGATTTGTGTGTGTGTGTGTGTGTGTGTGTGTGTGTGTGTGTGTGTGTGTGTTGGTGCATAGTGTTTCAAATGTAGTCTTTTCCTGGAATATTTGGTGGCGTTTTCAAGGCAGTAGGTTTTAGGGCAAGGTGATTCGGCCACTGGGATTGACCTATGGAGATTCAATACCTTGAAATGCCTCATTCAGAAGTATGCTTTTGTTGTGTTATCCTTGGGCAAGGGCCACGCTAGTCCTCTTTGTATCGTTCCAACTTTATTGGATTGCATTCCCACAGGAGGCCACCCTATGAACCCACATTTGTTGTTGCTTGGCAAAGAAACACTCCCCAAAGCACTAGTTGGTTGACAAGAAATGATCTGCATAAAGTTTGGAAACAGCAAGCACGGAGCCCGCATCCATTCAATTTAACTAGTTTAATGGGACTTTTAAAACATTATCATTCCACACGACAACTTAGGTTCGACTACAGACACTAGTAGTCTTCGCCTGGTGGTTTCTCTTCTGGCTGCTTTGGGTGTATGAGCACTCGTAAGGGAGTGTCACTTTCAAGCAAAGCACCTATTGCAACAGCCAAAGAGTAGTAGGTTTTGCTTATAAAGGTATCAAACAACTTCTCATCAAGGTATCTTTGTGCAACCCCGTTTGCAGTTATGCTTACCTTCCGGCTCTGCCGCAAAGTTTCAACTGGTCTGGCACCCCGTCTCTAGCCTGTTCTTTAGAATCGTATATTATCAGAAGGCTGCGTTTGGAAAAACTTTTCCACAAGGTCTTAGAGCTAGTTGGGCTTCTGCAAAATAATCTGTATTTGATGCCGGGGTCACGGCAAGTTCAAAATTTATTGTCGACATAGGGACTCGCACACTTTTCCCTGTCTTGCCTTACATAGGCGCCAGTTGCATAGCTCGCGCATATCACATAATGAAGTAAACTAGTGTTTGCCCTTTGGCGTTGATCCATGACACGTTCCTTCCTGACGTTCATCGTGTGTTTTGTACTGGTCGGGTATAACCGATAGTGCATCTCCCTTGCCCTTAGTTTTTTACACAAAAAGGGTCACATTACATGTGTTTCAGCTCCGCACACCAAGGATCAGCAGCCACAATGAGTGCGAAAAGCAGGACGTGTACGCAAGCGTTTGGATGAGGATAAACCTCCTTGTTTCGTTGCGAGAAGAGCAATTCTCAATGTTTTCTTGTGTTCGATATCGTCCTATTTTTCGACTGAGCGGCTGTGTTCGTTGCATGAGTGATGGAATTTAGCGAAGTATCTGATGCCTTCGTGGCTTTTCCTTTATAATCTAACCTTAAGAGATAAGTAGACTATTATCAGTAATGTATACAACGGTATCCATAGACGGTATGCAATACAATTTTCCCCTCTACTCTTTTCGTCTAGTGTTGCAGCTAGGATAAATGTGCCGCCGTAATCATCCCTAAGGCATAAGAAAGGGGAACGGGGCTCTGCTGTTACTGTGGGTGTGTGAAGCATGGTTCACCTCTAAGGTTCTTGTCGCTGTGTGTGCTTGCAAGCTGCGTGGGGCAGCTGTCTTATAGGTTGACAGCCCGGCGGGGTTGAGCCTTAATTGTTCTCCAGAATCAGAAAGCACTAAGGCTACTGTCTCGTGCAGGCTG